GAGGCAGCCCGCCTCCCTCGTCCGCGCAGGGCAGCGCAGCCCGCCGCCCGCGGCCGGGGTTGTGTTCTCCTCCACGAGCGCGGAGAGGAGTCAGCTGCTGTTCCTGGAAGAGGCCCGAGTCAGCTCCGAGCGGACAGGGCATGGAGAGGGCAGGCTCGCCGCTGCCGGCCGGATGTCTCCGAGGGGCTCTGCTGGCCTTGTCCACGTCCAGCCCGCAGCTCCGTGCCCGAGATGCAGGCCAGGTCCTCGGCCTCGCTGCTCTCCCGCCCCCGCCAATTCTGCCGTCCCGGTCCCCAGCCCCTGAGCGAGGTGCAGCCTCTCTGCTGTGTCCCGGCAACGCTCACCAGGCTCAGGGGCCTAGTTTCTTCCCTGCTGTCCTGTCCAGCCCGCAGCGCCCCCCCCGCCCGGGGGCAGGGCTGCAACTGACGGCCTCAGCGCGCTCGCACCCCTAGGCTCTGTTCCGAGGTGCAGGCGCGGTGTCTGCGCTCCCCATGCTGTGTAGGGTGGCAGGGCTCCTAGCCAGAGGAAAGGAAAGGTTACAGCACTCCCCTGCAGGGCCCTCCAGCCCAACCGACAGGTGAGACAGGTCGTGGGTGCTGAGCTGGGGCTGCCCCTTCCAGGTCCAGAGCCAGAACCGGGCAGTGGTCACAGTTCCTGCAGGTGTAGCAGCAAGGGCAGGGGTCATGTGCATGTGCTGTCGCGAGCCGTGCTGGGGCCTCCTCCTTCCCAGGCTACCATGTGGAGGGGAGGCACACAGTTCCTTCCAACGCTGTCTCTAAACTCTGCTCCCCCACTTGTATTTCAAACATAGTGTTTGGGCCTGAGCTTGCACAAGTGTGTTAGGGCAAAGTTGCACCATCTGGCTGACAAGGTGTACAGAGTTCCAGTAAGTTAGACAATAGCCAGGAGGCCAGAGGGAGAGTGGTTATGATTGCATTTATTGGGAAGTCCAGGCCCCTAGTGGGTTTTTTCCTGAGGACCCAGAACCAAGACTCTTGAGCACTACCCACATGTGTGCATACGGTCGGTTCTCAGTGACTGCGTGTGGAGTGAATGAAAGGTATGTTTACCAACCTGAACCTGTGAGTCTTTTCACGTTCAGAAATCTGTCCCTACTTCGCTCACACACACACACGCACACATATGCATGCACGCACACGACCAAGCAGGTCTTTGCTTACTCTAAAGCAGTGAACTGGCCACAGTGAGTGGGTTCATCTTGGCAGTCCTCCAGTGGCTGCAGGCAGGCCTCTAGCACCTCACTTTTCTCTACAGAGAGAAGCGGTCAGGGGGCTGGGGATTTAGCTCAGCGGCAAAAGCGCCTGCCTGGCAAGCGCAAGGTCGTGAGTTCGGTTCCCGGTACCCGAGAAAAACCAAAAAAAAAAAAACAAAAACCAAAACAAAACAAAACAAAAAAAAAAAGAGAGAAGCGTCAGCAAGAGTTGGAGGGGTGGGGCTATGAACACAGAAGGAACAGCCATAAAGTCCTCCATGAAGCAGGCTGCCTGCTCTCCCCGCACAGGGCTGCTGGGAGGCTACCAATGCTTCACCTAACAGATACTTACCGAGCCCTGCTGCGGGGCGCCGCTGGGTGGACATGGTCAACAAGACAATGTGGTTCCACCAGCAGTAAGAGATGTTGAGTTCACAAATTAAATCCATAAACAGAACAATCCCGTATTAGGACACGAGCTGTGAAGGAGGGACAGAGCTCCCTCAGACAAAGGGCTTCTACCTAGAACATATAAAGAATTAAAAACTATCAGCCCCCCCAAATTCAAAGACCCA